CTAAGTCTCCCTAAAGAGGTAGGGAAAGGTTTTCTTTTCTCTCTCTCTCTCTCTCTCTCTCTCTCTCTCTCTCTCTCTCTCTCTCTCTCTCCCCTTCCAGCTGAAACAGGTTTTCTGGGGGGGATTTTAGGATTACAGCCCCTGGGGAGGAGAGGGCCCCAGAGAAGGGGGTTTGGTATCAGCACACAGAAATTCACATGGCCAGCAGGTTAAATCTAGGGGGAGGGGAGGGGAACAGTTATTGGACCGACCCACCTCTTAAAGAAGGGAGAACTTTAAACGTATAAACAGAAACAACCCAGACAAGGAATAGTAATCTTATAAAACTACGGTTTAATGTAAGCATCATAAAACTTAGAGAGAAGGAAAAAGAAGATCGCCCAGCGAGAGGCCAGGCAAAGACGAGACACTGTGACAGTCTAGAGATTTCTCACGTTTCTTTTTAGAAACGCCTCCAAGTTATCCCAGAGACACCATAGGACAGAGTTTGCCCTGAGATGTCCTGGCCCAGGGATAACCTGTGTCCTCAAGCTATGCACAACCAGGTCTTCCACAATCCCAAAGAGGGGTTACCCCTCCCCCCCTGCGCTATTTTGCATACTTTGGATCTACAACCCAGCAACTTGCTTAGGGACTTGTGGGCAATTAGGTTTCCTTTTGTGTGTCGAGTCACACAAAACACAGCTGACTAAGGCCGGCGAGCCACCCCGTGGCTCACTGGGAACACCAGAAAGAGAGCCTCATTCCTTTTCAAGCCTGAACTTTGCAGACAAAGCCTCAGTTCCCAGCCGGCCTTGGCACCCCAGGAAATGAGGCCTCACTGAAGCAGCAGGGACCAGGAGCTGGAGCTGTCCCAGAGAGGGAGAGCCCTGGGGGGCCCAACTCTCTCAGGGTTTATTCCCCAGGGGGCAGGAGGGGGGGGGAAGGGTCCCAATCTAGGGTCACGCCACAGGTACAGCCTTCCATAGTGAGGAGAGCAGACAGGCACTTGAAAGTCGAGAGGAAGGGGATGACAAACAAATTAAGAAATTAAGTTTGGCCGGGTGTTGGTGCCGCACGCCTTTAATCCCAGCACTCGGGAGGCAGAGGCAGGCGGATCTCTGTGAGTTCGAGGCCAGCCTGGTCTACAGAGCGAGTTCCAGGACAGCCTCCAAAACAATACAGAGAAAGCCTGTTTCGAAAAAGAAAAAAAAAGAGAAAAGAAAAGAAATTAAGTTTGTCTTGGGTGATCCAATCCTGCATACACACGGGTGGAGGGGTCTGACCTGAGGGTATTTCCAGTCTGGGGGGGGTGTCCAACCCCTCCCCTCGGTTAGCTCACCCTCGAAACACTTCCAGACCTCACTTCCCTCCCATCGGCCAGAAGTGTTTCCCTAGTCCCAAAGAATCCCCACCCCTGCCTGCCTGCCTCACTTCCATCTTTTGGTTAGTTTATACTTTGAGACTTTTTTTTTAACTGCTATCCGAGGTGGCCGGGAACTCGATGTGTGTCGAGACCAGCCTGCCTGCTCCCTGATGGCTGGGATCTCAGGTGTAAGCTATCACAGCTCCGGGCGTGTTTTTTGTTTGGTTTTTGTGAGTGGTGAGCCAGCAAAGTTTATCTCAGAAAGCAAAACTCAGTCCACCCTCCAGAAGGAGGGGTGCAAAGCTGAGGGCGACAAGTTTGCTCTGAGTTCCTACGTTCTTTCACGGCTTCATTCTCGGCTCTGTTTCAGGAGGCTGCCACAGAACACTAACCAAACAGGCGCAAGCCCTGGGGGCTGTAAACACAAAAGCAAAAATTTGAAGAAGACTCTAACAGGGTGTGGAAGCCCCTACCTGAAACCAAGCGCTTGGGTGGTAAAAGATAGGAGGATAGAAAATTCAAACTCTCTCTCTCTCTCTCTCTCAAAAAAAATAAAAATAAAAGTTAACAACAAAAAACAAGCAGGAAAAAGAGAAGAAAACAAAAGACTTGTCTTCCCTTTCTATAAAACAAGCATTTGAGAAAGGGGATCTTAGCTCAGAGGTAAAGTGTTTGTGAGATATACAAGAGGTTCCTGGTTCCATCCCCATCACCATAAAACCTTTTTAAAAACATACGTTGGTAGCTGGGTGGTTGGTGGTGGTGGTGGTGGCGCACACCTTTGACCCCAGCACTCAGAGGTAGAGGCAGGTGGATCTCTGTGAATTCAAGGCCAGCTAGGTCTACAGAGTGAGTTCCAGGACAGCCAGGGCTGTGTAGAGAGACCTTGTCTGGAAAAAAACCAAACATACAAATGCATACACACACACACACACACACACACACAGAGAGAGAGAGAGAGAGAGAGAGAGAGAGAGAGAGAGAGAGAGAGAGAGAGAGAGAGAGAGAGAGAGAAAGTACAGAGAGCCTAGCATCCAGAAAGCTGTGAGTTCTGTGCCCAACATCACAAACATTCTCTCTCTCAGCTGACAAAGAAGGATTACATGGGTAAGGTCAGCCTAGACAATACGAGACCTTACACACACACACACACACACACACACACACACACCTGTGAGCACACTTGCCCTCTGTCTTCTTTGGTTTGCCTACCTTCCAGCATCTTCTCCAGCAACCCAGCCACACTGGCTTTTGTGCTCACCCTCCAACGACTTACTTTCTGCCATTCCCTTGAGGGGATACTCTAGACTTGTCTGTCCACCCTCAGGCTACTCCGTCTTGGCTGTCTGCTAAAAAGGACTTAACCTTTCTGGGCTTCCTCCACATTGCCACCCCTCCAGTTGTCTTGTCTCCCCTCCCCCTCCCCCATCCCTTCCAATAAGCCAGACAGTTCTGTCTCAGGCTTCTTTACTCCTTATCCAAAATGTCTTATTCCTTGGGGCGACTCCCCAAGTGGCATCTCCAGCCCACAGCTGGCAGATCGCCGGGCCCCACTCATGTTTCAACTCTCCAACCGGCACTCCCCCCCACTAGCCCTGCTTTCGGTCTGGAGGCATGGCCCGAGTGAGGGACATAAGCTGGTGAGAAGGACAGTCAGACAGGTGAGCCAGACTATGTTACTCGTTTTCACAGTGCTAGGAACGGGAACCCAGGGTCGCCTGCCACCACTGAGCTACATCCCCAACAGGACACAGGATTTCACACTGGCTGAAGCCATCAGCAGTCTGTACCAGAGGCAGGAAAGATAAAGACAGCAGGATCACGGGATCTAAAGCAGCAGCTTTCCCAACCTGTGGGTCACGGGTAGCAGAGAAACTGTGCCTAAGAAACACCCAGAGAGCTAGAGAGAGAGACACACACTGTCCGGCGTTAGGAGTGCTTGCTGCTCTTGCAGAGGGGCCTGAGTTTGGTTTCTAGTACCCACATCAAGTGGATGGATGGTCTCGATGCCCCGTGATTCCAGATCCCAGTCCTAAGGCATTCAGTGCCTTCTTCTGGCACAGACTCCCACACACTCTTAAATCTTAAAAAAAAAAAAAAAAAAAACCGCCCAGGTTCTGATCCTTTCTCTTCCCCAACCATGTCTTCCCCTAAGACTGCCTGGAAGGGTACCACAGGCAGAACCTGTCCTGAAGGGCTTGGCACCTTCCAGGGTACACGACATCCACCGACTACCCCTGACATCTCCCCTCCCCAGAAGCTGTCACAGGTCCACCAAACCACCTGTTCATAAGACAAACAACCTAGCAAGAACTGAAGCCCCAGAGAGAGGCAGCAAGTTTTTCAGAGGCTGTAAGGCAATTTTGTTGGGATGGCAGTCAGGCCCCGGGGCCTTAGGTTGGACATCTTGGGATTCCCAGGCCAAGCAACCTCCTTCAATTCTGGCCTGTGATCCTCTGGCACAGATGCCACACATAATTAGAAGTTATAATCCTGTAATTCCATGATGACATCTTTCGACTTAAATATACTTCAAAACTCTTTTTAGATGCCAAAAGCAACTTTAAAAAAAACTGTCCAGTGTCCCCACCTGTCTCCATATTCCCCTCATGTTCCAACTACTCCATGTGTGAGCAAAAACTCTTAAGTGGGCAGTGTCCCCGCCGGAGAAGGAAGCTGCCAAGCCCATTTACAATGTGGCGTTGAACAATTAAGAATTGATTGCTCTGTGGGAAGCAGTTTCACTTCCCTATTCAAGATCACTCGCTGTGCCTTCGATGGTATCAGTTAGGAAAAAAAATATCTACGACAATCTCTCAACCCACCAGGTGATCCCTGGCCAAACTCCAAAGGCTATTTTTGGACTCATTAGGGACCCGAAAGGAAGGTGAGCTTGTCACTGTGATTCGAACCTCCAAAGCGTCTTTGTAAGCCAGTTCCTATAGCCTGTTGAGCGTGCCGGAGCCGCTGTGGGAGCCTGCTGGGGTCGCTTTTGAGGAACTGAGCTCCAGGGGCGAAGGGCAGCCGGGGAGAGCCAGGACGTGCCAAGAGCGCCGAGCCCCCAGTCCCTTCTCCGGCTCAGTCCCTCGGACAACCGAATGCAGATAAAACCCTCTTTGGAGAATAGGTGGGACTGCCATTCCCTGGCGACACAAGACAAACGAGGGAGGCGCACTCCAAGTCCCCTTGCGGAGGCTACCCTCCCTTGCCTACTTAGGAGGGAGACCGCTGGAAAAACTCGGGAGGCAAAAGAGCAAAACTCTCCGTCCGCGCTAAGCACTCGAGTGGAATCTTGGGCTCCGGGCGCGGCGCGAGGAGACCGAGCTCGACAGCGTGGCCAGGGGTTGGTCCTTTCCCCGCGGGAGCGGGAAGGGCTGGCAGGGCCACCCAGGTCACTTCCCCCGGGGCTCCTTACCTGCGCGCGCGCCCTCGCGCGCGCGGCTCGCCCGTGCGCACCTGTGCGCCCCAGCCCGGCTGCCATCTGGTCCGGGCGCCCAGCCCCACTCAAGTCCCCCCCTTTTCGCCCTCCCTTCTCCGCCGCGAGGCCCGCACCGGCCCCCGCGCGTCCCCTCCCCCTCCGGACCAGGCTGACCCCCCGCCGCCAAGTCCAGTTTGAGCGGACGGGGGGGAGAGTTCTGGCGGGCTCGCCACCCACCTTCCGAAAGTAGTCATCGCTCTCCTTCTCCAGCGGCTGGGGGGCCGCGGGTAGCAGCGCGTCGGTCATGCTGGCGGCGCGGGAGCCGAGGGTGAACTGAGGTGCAGTGGCCACCAAGGGCCCCAGAAGGCGGCGGGGGGGATCCGCCCCGCCCCGCCCCCGCCCCACCCCCGCGCCGCCCCGCCCCGCCGGACGCGCGGCTGCATCGGAGACCCCGCCCGAGTCCCAGAGCGTCAGCTATCTGCAGCCCCGCCCCTCCTAGAAAGGCCGAGCCATAGGCGGATCCCGAGCCTGGAACTCCACCCCATCCCCCAACCCCACCCCTCCCGCCTCCCAGAGAGTGAGCCACACCCCCTAATCTTTGGAGCCACGCCCCATCTCATCTCGGCCCAGCCTCCCTCGCGGCTTTCCAGTCTTAGGAGAGGCCGAGCCTCTCTCTGGAGCCTCACCCACCCTCTCCTTAGGCGCCGCCCACAGCGCGCGAGCCCCCGCCTCCAGCCCCCGCCCGAGGCCGGAGCCAGAGCCCTGAAGCCCCGCCTTCATTTGCATAGGCCACGCCCCAGCCGTTCAGAGCCTTGAGGAATTTTTAGCGCGCCTCTCGCAGGCTGAGCCTCCTGCGATCTCTAGCCGGCGCCGAGGTGGCGCAGCGGACTGGACAGGGGTTCCAGCGACCGCAGGGAAACTCAAACTGGGATTCACCCTTTTCTCTGGAGCCCTGGGAGGGGTAGATGGCCGAGGGTGTGGGTAACGCACGTGGTCACTCTTTCCACCCCGGGACTTGGATACGCGGGCAGAAATCAGGACCAGTTTCATCTCCCGCTCGCGAGCTCTTGGCGCTAGCCGGGGAGGTCAGGAAAGAGCTTCTGGCAGGAGGGGAGGTCACTGAGGGTTTGGACTGACTGAGGGCGTAGTGGGTGGAAGTCGCCAGGAGAAGGGACCACCTAACTGAGCAGGAGGAAACCCCACTTAAGCGTCTTAGAGAAAACCAAACTCGGGTTTTCTCGCTTGCAGAACTGGGGGCCCCCGGTGATGGTTCCTCCAGCTAGACCAGGGTTTCTGGTACAGATTATGGTCATGAGTATCAGGGGTCCTAGGCTCGGGGTTCGTGCTCCCTCCTGCTGAAGAGTTATCAGACTCTACGGTGAGATATTGGTGTAGCCTCCTGTGCCACCTCGTACTGCACCACCCCGCAACCAAGGGACACCCTAGCTGCTTCTGTCTTTGGCGGTGCGTAGGTCGCAGCGTGAACCCCAGGTAGAGACATAATCAGCTTTCAGAACGAACCGGCCGTTCTCCTACTCCTGGAAGAGTGGAATAGAGTGGCCGGAGAGATGGCCCAGCGGGCCAAGGTGCATGGCCCTCGCTCCGCCTGACAACCTGAGTCCCATCCCCCTAGACCCACAGGATAGAAGGGGCGAGAACCAACTTCCACAAGGTCTCTGATTCCCCACACGTGCGCCCAGGCACGTACGTGCTCCCCTCCCCCGGTGCACACAAAATAAATAAATATAAAAAAATATTTAAATCAGATATGTAAAAAAGAGTGTTTTTTAAAAAAAAGAACCCTTTCTAATACAAAAAATATTTAAATTGTATCAGGGATGGTTCGAAGGTTTTTTTAAATAAGTGTTTAAGAGAAACAGTGGCAACAGCTTAGCAAATGTTATAAATAATTTTAAATCCACCTGGTCGTGAGGAAGGAGGGCTACCTAAGTGTAAGAAAGAGCCAAAGGATGCAACTTCACACATGTGATCTCTACGTCTTTCGGGAAGCCGGAACAGCAGGACTGTGGAGTGCAAGGCTAGCCTGATGTCTTAGTTTGCTTCACGTTGCTGTGATAAAGAAACAGCAACTCCAGGAGGAAAGGGTTTATTTGATGTATGCCTTACAATGCACACATCACTGAGGGAAACCGCTTCAGGAACTTCAAGGCAGAAACCCCGGAGGCAGGAAATGAAGGACTGTGGAGAGCTCCTGCTTACTGCCATGGCTCGCATAGCCTGCTTTTCCTTCTTAAATTATTACTTTATGCGTATTGTTGTTGTCTTAGTTAGGGTTTCTATTGCCGGGGGAAAGACACCACTGACCATGGCAATTTTTTTTTCGTTTTTCGAGACAGGGTTTCTCTGTATTGTTTTGGAGGCTGTCCTGGAACTCGCTCTGTAGGCTTTGAACTCACAGAGATATGCCTGCCTCTGCCTCCCCAGTGCTGGGATTAAAGGCATGAAGCCACCAACGCCCGGCTGACCATGGCAATTCTTATACAGGAAAACATTCAACTGGGGCTGTCTAACTGTTCAGATGTTTAGTCCATTATCGTCCTGATTGCGGGCAGACACGGTGCTGGAGGGGGAGCTGAGAAGTTCTACCCTCTGGATCTGCAGAGGGCAGCAGGAAGAGAGAGTGACTTGAACAGGCCAGACTTGAGCATCTGAGACCTCAAAGCCCACCCTACTCCCCAGTGACACACCTCCTCCAACAAGGCCACACCTCCTAATAGTGCCACTCACTATGGGCCTGTGGGGCCATTTTTGTTTGTTTGTTTGGTTTTTGGTTTTTCGAGACAGGGTTTCTCTGTATTGCTATGGAGGCTGTCCTGGAACTCGCTCTGTAGACCAGGCTGGCCTCGAACTCACAGAGATCCACCTGCCTCTGCCCCCCGAGTGCTGGGATTAAAGGCATGAGCCATCACTGCCCTGCCTGTGGGGTCATTTTCATTTAACCCACCACAGTTGTTTTGCCTGCACGTGTGTCTGTGTACTGTATGTACATGCATACATACTTGGCGCCCACGGAGGTCCAGATCCCTGGAACTGGAGTCACCAGTGGTTTGAGCCTCCCTGTGGGAGCCGGGAATTGAACCCAGGACCGCTGGAAGATCGGCCGGTGCTCTGAACCCCTGAGCCATCTCTCTAGCCCCTCAACCTGCTGTCTTATACAATTCGGAACCACCTGGGCAGGGTTAGGACCACCTGGTGGGTGGGGGGGCGGGGCCCTCCCCCAGCAATCATTAATCAAGAAGTCCCACAGGCTTACTACTTACTGATCAGTCTTCATGGAAGCATTTTCTCAATTGAGACTCCCTCCTCCAGGATGACTCCAGCTGGTGTCAGGCTGGCAGGAATTTAACCCACCACACGTGGGTTCAGTGGAAAGACACTGTCTCCATATTCCAAGAAAGGAAGGAAGGAAGGAAGGAAGGAAGGAAGGAAGGGAGGAAGGGAGGGAGGGAGGGAGGAAGGAAGGGAGGAAGGGAGGAAGGGAGGAAGGAAGGAAGGAAGGAAGGAAGGAAGGAAGGAAGGAAGGAAGGAAGAAACCTATAGTTCTAACCAGCTGGACTCTGGCAGATGTTTTGGAAACAGCTAATTAAAAAAAAAAGTTCTGGGCTGGAGAGATGGCTCAGTGGTTAAGAGTGTGCTGCTAGGCTTCCAGAGGTCCTGAGTTCAATTCCCAGCAATCCCTGTGTCTCACAACCATCTATAGTGGAATCTGATACCTTCTTCTGGAGTGCAGGCATACTTACAGATAGAGTACTCCTATATATAAAATAAATAAACCTTTAAAAAAAAACTTCCTTCCTTCCTAAGTCAATCTAGTATCGAGGTGATTTTGGCACACCTCAGTCACGCTCTACTTAAGCCATTGTCCTGGAAATGTGCTGGCCACTTTGCCTTTAATCCCAGCACTCGGGAGGCAGAGGCAGGCGGATCTCTGTGAGTTCAAAGCCAGCCTGGAGTTCCAGGACAGCCTCCAGAACAATACAGAGAAACCCTGTCTTGAAAAACCAGACCAAACAAACAAACAAAAAGCCCGCTTTGCTTCAGGCCCCTAGAGTAGTTGGTCACTACATTACCATGTTACTATTCATAAACTTAGCAACAATATAACCTTAGCTCTAACTAGCAAGTTAGGCAGATATTGGGCTCCAGTCCTGGCACCCTTCTGTGGATCAAGGGACTTAAAGGGGCCTCAGTCCTGAGGGGAAAGGACCTAGAGGTCAGAAGAGGGATGTGGCAGCCAAGGGCACACTGCCCATTAGTGTCTCACTTACCCAGCCTTGCTGGTTCCTCTCTTCCCTGACACCAAGTTCAAACTGCCAGTTTTTTTTTTTAAACAAGTGTAACTGGGTATTGGTGGTGCACGCCTCTAGTCCCAGCACTTGGGAGGCAGAGGCAGGTGGATCTCTGTGAGTTTGAGGCCAGCCTGGTCTACAAGAGCGAGTTCCAGGACAGCCTCCAAAACAATACAGAGAAATCCTGTCTCAAAAACCAAATAATAATAATAATAATAATAAATAAAATAAATAAGATAAAACAAGTGTGCATCACCAAAGCCTAGCTCAAATTGCCTTTCAAGTTTGCTACACACACAAACCAACTTATCCTATTATGTGTGTTGGATTCCCCAGAACCGGAGTTACAGATGATTGTGAGCCACCCTTCCTGGGTGCTGGGCACCAATTCTCCTGCAAGAGCATCAGGTAAACTAACCACTGGTCCACCTGTCTAGGCCCTTTATAATCCTTTTTTAAATTTATTTTTATTTTATGTGAGTCGGTGTTCTGCCATGGGTGTCAGGTCCCTTGGAACTGGAGTTAGAGACTGTTGTAAACTGCCATGCGGATGCTGGGAATTGAACCCCAGTCCTCTGAAGAGTAGTGAGTGCTCTTAGCCGCTGAGCCATCTCGCCAGCCTCTGTCCCTTTATAATCTTTAAAAATAATTTTAGAGCCGGGCGTTGGTGGCGCACGCCTTTAATCCCAGCACTCGGGAGGTAGAGGCAGGAGGATCTCTGTGAGTTCGAGGCCAGCCTGGTCTACAGAGCGAGTTCCCAGACAGCCTCCAAAGCCACAGAGAAACCTTGTCTCGAAAAAACCGAAAAAAAAAATAATTTTAGATGCTGGGTGTGGTGGCGCACACCTTTAGTCCCAACACTTGAGAGGCAGAGGCTGGCGGATCTCTGTGAATTTGAGGCCAGGTTGGTCTACAGATCGAGTTCCAGGACAGCTAGGGCTGTTACACAGAGAATCCCTGTCCGCAAATCAAAAACAAACAAAAATTTCAGACAATGTATTTTGAGATACGTTCTCATTCTATTGTTCAGGCTGTCCTGAAACCTCACTG